GTGCTAAGGATGTGGCATCCACTCAGTACACCTTTAGGTGGATTTATTTGGTCTAGCTCTAGTCTATTCCTGTGCCCATGGGAACATAACTTCTGGTTTAGTTTCATTCCAAAGGAATCCTGTTTGTGTGTTCCATGACCCCTACCTGGTGCAAATCAAAGTGCAGTAAGTGGAGATAATAAGGGAATAGGAAAATCCCTCCAAAAGCACAGTCATGATCCTCCCCTAGATGTGCCCAGTGCACACCCACCTGCCTTCTTAGACAATGTACAAGAGCAAGAAGTGCTCTTAAAATGATCCTACTTGTGGATTAATGTTACAGAACTCTCTGTGGGAAGAGCAAGCTGCAGGATCTCCACGTTTCCCCTTCGTGGCAAAGATTTCTGTTCTGAGTGAGGGCCATCCAGCTGAATCCCTGTGCTGACAGCAGTGCCACCTGAGAGCACTGCCCCCAGCTCCTGCCTCACAGCACCTGCAAAGCTCTTCCTGAGTTTCAGGGCAACCAGGATTCAGATGGAAAAATCTGTGCACACAGCAACCAGAACTTGATATCTTAGATGGTGGAGCATGTGTATTAATGCCAGGTGAGATCTGGCAAGTGAATGTTTGTTTTAAATTTCTCTTTAATCACTCTTACAGTTTTAACTTTGAAGTCTAGGGAAGTACATTTTCTGGTTTATGCCTCAGATGACATGGAAAAAGATATTCCACCTACAGTACTGGAATATCATTTATAGAAGTGTAAATTCATAAAGCTATACCTCTAACAATTTGTCCACATGGAACTATCCCAATTTGCATAAACTGAGGACTTGACTGAAAAAAAAAAAAAGAAAAAAAAAGAACTTTTGAGGCACTTCTTTTATTATAATTGCTCCAAAATTTCAGATCTAGGTATTTATGGATATATATACAGTCTATGTGAAAAAAGGAAAACAAGATTTGAGAAGTGAGTCTCCTAATTCAGTATTGAATTAGTTTTTGTTTAGATGAGGCTCAGTAAGAATTTTAAGTTGCACAGCTCGCTGAAAGATTCACGAATGGAGCTGGGAGGACAGGGAGAAGCTAAACATAAAAATCTTTGGAAAAATATTTAAAGAAATAATGATAAAAAGTGGTAAGGTTTGGAGGGCTACAAGAGAATGCAGATTTATTTGAGTTCTGTTTTTCTACTACAGATGTTCTGCTAACTAGAGCAGAGATGTTCAGAGACCACATATCGGCTGTAAAATTCTAGGACTGAGATTAATTAAATGTCTGCTGCTCCTCACAAAAACTACACTCGAGAGTTTTTTGGGCCTTCTAGTCTTCAGAACGAACAGCTGTAGCATACATCACATGCACATCTTGCACTCTTAAAATGTATTTTTATAACAAGTGTCATTTTTCTATAAGGAAAGTTTAACATTTTACCCTTCCTCTGATTATCTTGCTGCTGTTCAGAAAATAAAAAAGGATAAGGGTCTGATACTTACTGTACTAACATCTGATACTTCCTGCAGAGCACTGCCTCCACCCAACATGTGTTTTTAAATAAAATTCATAGTAGGTTCAATGGTCACAAATACTCACTTATGGCTTATGTGAGTCCATTTCTTGCAACAGTTGTAGGAAGGTGAGGACCCCATTCTGGTCTATTCTCTAGGTCAACGCCTAGGAAATACGATTTGTCGTTTGTGTCTTCTTTTTCCCCCTGACTGGACAATCGTATTGCTTCTTTTGATCAGTCAACTCACCCCTCCTCTGGATCCTGCTATGCAGGTGAAGGGTATACTTTTATTATGTGATTTATTTTTATATATGATTAATCTTGCAGAAATCTCTTTTCCTCCTCCATAAGCTGACACCCTAACAATCTGATTTCTGGATGCCAGGCCTCAAGGAGTTTCCTGGTTTAATTTGATATGGTACCCACAAACTCACAGTATTCTTGTGTTGTTACACTAAAACAATACTGCTACTTAAACAGTGCCCAACCCACCTTCAACTCCATGCCCCTTATGGCTGCCTCCTTAGCTCTTACAGAAAAATGAAGCTGATGTCAAATGTAAGATTTCCAGCCTACTGGAACTGTTATATACTTGATACATTATTTACACATGCCACTTATAAAAACATAAGCCCCAAGCCAAAGGCGTCTCCTTCACTCCCACATGGCTGTACTTGAAGATGTCATTGACCATAAAGAAACAAGCAAAACATTTTGCCTTAAAGCTACAGTGCTTCACACCATAAAGACTTGCATTCCTTACCAAGTATGACTGCTTTAAGTTCATGATTTTATTGTAACTGAAGACAATTTTATTTTAAACCTGGCCAATTACAACAACTACAGGTGGTGGCCAAATGCAGTGGTGGCTTGTGAGGAGCACAAAGGTACAACCTGACTAATGCCACCCAAGAACCTGCACACTGAGGAACGCCAGCCTGTGTCTTATTGTGAAAATACTTTCTAATTGTTTTTCTCAGGTAGATGTTACTTGACCTTTAAATAAATAATTTAAGTCCTATAAAAACTGTACCGGACTCCTTAGAAATGTCAGCTGTGTGTGGAGGAAAGCCCAGCTGTGGAACAGAGAGAATGTACAGTCCACAACAAGCTTTCCACTATTGCCTTTGCCACGTGCAATATGAGAAGGACAAAGAAGTTACCTCAGTCTCCAGAAGCCCTCAGTTTCCAACACATCCACTAGGACTGGCAGGAAGGATACACCAATAATGGTGGTGCTGTCTTATTTACCAACCACAAATCCACTTCAATATCAACAAGCGACTTAGTCAAAACAACCACCAAGAGGTCTCAATCTGAATGGGTTTTCACAGCATTCAAGCCATGTAAAGACACATTGTCCAAATAAGGGACAATGCTGACTGTGCTGCTGTCCTAGGGTGGGAGTCAAGGCTGTATAACTTATTCCAAATGCTGGAATATCTAGTCCTTTCCAGAACACTAGCCTAAAATATTAATCTTTAAGAGCTCTTTGCAAAATTACTTATAATGAATATTTTATTTAATAATGAGCACTTTAGAAATAAATTTCTTTAGTGGTTGTCATGTATAACTGTAGGAAAGCTTTAAAGTGAATAGACTTGAACATTATAATCATAATGTTTGTATTGTTAAAACTGCTGACAAGACCAATAAAGCATAGTAGATTAGAGAAGCAGCAAAATATCACTGGTAGATTTCTGGGGGAATAAAGATTCAAACAGCCTCCTGTTGCAGGCAGGCTTGGCCTTGCCGATGTCATAGAACCATAGAGTCATAAAATGATTTGGGTTGGAAGGTGACCTTGAAGATCATCTTGTTCCAACCACCCTGCCATGGGCAGAGACATCTTCCATGAGACCAGTTTGCTTAGAATCCCATCCAACCTGGCCTTGAACACTTCCAGGGATGGGGTATCCACAGCTGCTCTGGGCAACCTGTGCCGGGGCCTCACCACCATCACAGGGAAGAATTTCTTCTTAATATCCAATCTAAATCCACTGTCTCTCAGTTTGAAGCCATTCCCCTTATCCTGTGCATCCATGCTCTTGTCCCATCTTTCCTGAAGGTTCCCTTCAGGTACTGGAAGGCCACACTTAGGTCACCACAAAGCCTTCTCTTTTCCAGGTTGAACAATCCCAATTCTCTCAGCCTTTCCTCATAGCAGAGGTGCTCCATCCCTCTGATCACCTTGGTGGCCTCCTCTGGACTTGCTCCAACAGCTCCATGTCCTTCCTGTGCTGGGACCCCAGAGCTGGAGGCAGCACTACAGGTGGGGTCTCACCAGAGCAGAGCAGAGGGGCAGAATCCCCTCCCTCCCCTGCTGCCCACACTGCTTTGGATGCAGCCCAGGACACGGGGGGTTTCTGGGCTCCCAGTGCACATGCCTGGGTCGTGTCCAGCCTCTCATCCATCAGCACCCCCAAGTCCTTCTCAACATATTAAAATTTCCTATAAAGTTAATAGAAGAGAGGCTTTCAATTCTCAGGAGGGAGAAAGTTGTCTCATGTTAAGAAGCGTGTTGCTACAGGTAGTTTCTTGAATAGGATCTTACCCAAACCTGGGTCCAGTTCCCTGTGTTGATCACAAGTCTATCAAATGCTGTTTGGTTGGTATTACTTTGAATCATGATGAGCAGGCAATTTTCCTGGGTTTGATCTGGTTTTCTTATATTTTTATAGAAGAAATGTTGCCTCCCATAGTAATTGCTATCTTCCCTGTGCAATTACATAGAAATGCCAGACAGTCCTAGCACCAGAACAATAAAAGCTGAACAGAATTATTTTAATTTTCAAGGAGAAAGAGTTAAGTTAATGGTGAAAGCAGGTGGTGTTGGGTAGGACATCTCTGCTAGGCCTTAACTACTGTCAGGGGGCTGCAGGCAAACACAAGGCTAATTTTTCAACAATCCAGTTGGATTCATAGTTTTCTACCCCTTGCAACATGACTGAGAATTGAAAAAGAGGTGATGCAAAACGGGACCATTTTATAAACAATTTAAAGGACACAAAGATAAAATTATTAACAACTTTGCTGGTATCTCCACATCCCTCAAGCTATTCCTTCATGTGAGTGTTTCTACTGCTTAGAGCAATGTTTCTTATGTGGCTAAGATGCTACATGATCAGGAATCCCCAGCTACCAAGGCTGTTATTTGAAGGATCCTAAAGGCTTTCATGGGCAAACCCAGAGGGTGAAACACAACTTTAATGAAAGCAGCTTGTAGCTCCCAGAGACTCCAGGGGATATTGTCTTCTTTCATCAGTATTGAATTGGTCCAAAGTGTACAAAACTTGCATTGTGCCTTAAAGCTAATTGAGAATTTCTGGCTCTCTATCTCTCAGTTGAGAAAGGTCAGCTTTGAAATTTCCAGGTCAGAACTGTTTGACAAGGATTTAGTGTCATCCACAACTTGGGACATGCTAACAGGATTTCTTGTTTAAAGGCAGTGCTGTAACTGTAAAAAGAGGCTAAGAGGGCAAAACTATGAGGAAAAAGATGATTCATTTCAGTGATTTATTCTTACACTTCCAGGCTCTCAGACTAAAAGAGGTCTCTCTCATTGCAGGAGGCATGACTGACCTATCTTTCCATTATTGCACTGCTGTGCTGAGTTATTGCAGTTTTGAAATATAAATAGGAAAGATTTCATAATCTATGGGGTAATTTGCAAAGGCTAATTTGTACCTTCCTGGAAAGCCTAGATTCTTGCTCAGTGAAACAGGGCACTGTGGAAGCTTAGCCAACTTTTTCTGTCATTTGGGAAATCAAAGATAACACAAGAGATGAGCAGTGAGACATATTTAATTATCACTAGCCCTTCTAAGCATTCCTGCTTTTCCAAGGTTATATATGTCCAGACAGTCAGAATTAGGCTGTAGCATGGGAGAACCTTACACTGGCCTCTTGTGCACCATATGCCTTTTCATTGACAAACTAACACTTTTTTAATGAGAGTTTCTGAGGTTGTTATCCAAAATACATTCCTTATCCGATATCTCATCTTTAGCACCTCTCCAGGGGTATCTGGGAGTTTGGATCCAGACATATTTGCAAATCCAGGGCTTGATCAGGTCCCAGTGAAGTCAATAAAAATATTGTTGGTACTGAACAGATATACATTAATCTCAAATGAAAAGTAAAACCCATCCAAGAAAAAGTGTGAGGCAAATTACAGGTTCTTTTTCTAATCAAAATATGTCTTTTTCTTTCTCTCTCTTTAAATTTTTCTTCAACTGTTTTAACTTTATAACTAGCTTAAAGTAGCTGAGAAAATGTTGAAATTTTTAAATGTTGAATAGTCCTGGACCAATACCCCAAAAGGTTAATGTGACCTTCCTGATATATAACTCTTAATTTTGAAACTTACTGACTCCAATTAAAAATTTTTGGTGATGATAGAAAACTGAAATGTAGAAAAAGAGATACTAGGAGGTTGAGAAATGAACTTTTGATCTCAGTTATCACTATTTCTGGAAAAATGGAAAAAGAAGAAAGAACACCAGCAACACTTCGGTGCGTTAAACATTTCATAAGCATAACCTCAGGGTTATGTTAATGTAATCATTTACATGGGAATATTAATTTTTGAAACATTTGTGGCTTTAGTTAACCTGTTCCTTAGAGACGTGCCAGACTCTCAAAGCAGCCCCTGGAAGCTACAGAGGCAGGTGCTGGTGTGCCATTCTCTGTGCATCCCACCAACACGGCCGTGATCCTGCAAAGCATCACAGATGTGGCCGTCACTCCCTTGCAGTCAGAGCAGTCGGGCTGAGATGCTGTTTGCAGGTGAGGATGGAGTTGGAGACCTGCATCCCCCTGGAGTCCTGCAGCCAGAGAGCACCTGCTCCAGGCACCCGTTTTGAGACATCGAGAGGAAACATGAGATAATAAACACTGTTGTTTCCCATGCATCCATGTTTGACTTGGTGCAAGGCAAAGCCCTGGCTGCGCAGGGTCGGTACCTCAGGACGGGAAATCAGCAGGGTCGAAATCCTCAGGGGTCCCCTTCCTCTCGCCTTCCCAGAGCCCATGCTGCCTTCCAGCCATGGTCTGGGCAGAGAACGAGCTGTTTGCCAATCTCCACTCACTCTGTGGGCAATGTTAAGGTGGAAAGGGCACATGAAAAGGGAAATGCAGTCATCTGCACTTCGCGGTGTCCCTGCTGGAGCACGAAGCAGGGGGTGGAAGACGAGGGAATAGGGTTAGTGGATATGTGTGTCAGCGGGGGGATGATCTAAGTATCTGAAGTCATTCGAAAGATTAGAGCAAGCATTACCGCTTCCCCGCCCTCTCTCGTCCTCAGGGCTCAGGGGAAATCACAGTCCACACTAGATGACAGCTTGCTGGGTCTTAATGACAGGCTGGATGAAGACGAGCCGCGGCCGCCCAGACAAAGAGGGGAAGTTTGGCGCTGCCGCCGACCCGGGAAAGAGGCATGGACAGGGGCCGAGCCGGGACACGGGGGGCAGCGCCGGTGACACCCCGGGCCAGCTGCAGCCGCTCCGCTCCCCAAGTCGCCTCGGGCGCCGCATCACCGGCGTTCTCGGAAAAGCCCCGGACGCTTCCCTCCCCTCCGGAGCCAGACGCAAACCTGCCTCCTCCACCGAGCTTTGCAAACTGCAGCGCCAGGCAGCAGAGCGGGGGCGGCGGCAGGACGGGAGGTAAGCCCGGCTCCACCGTCCCCGGCCAGCGGTGACAACTCAAACCCCGGGTGACTCTGGGGCTTCAAGCGTTTCGGGGAAAACCTCGCGGTTTTCACACATAGTTTTTTCTCCCGGTCTCTCTCCCCTCCCCGGCTTCCTCCGGCTCTTCCCCTCTTCTGCTTCCCTCTCTCCCTCTCACTATCCCTCCTTTTCTCCTCCCCCCGCAGCCGCCCCCCCCTTTCCGCCTCCCCTCAAGTTTCTCCTTCTGTCTGATTAAATGAGAAGGAAGTGTGGGAGTGGTGGTTTTGAAGCTCTCCCTTTAAGAGGCAGCCTGCAGTGACGAATTGTTGAAATTGCCATTGCAGGATGGCATTCCGCTATAAATTCATTGTTCCACCTCCTCTCATCTTCACATTTCTCTCCCTTCTCCTCTTGTTCACATCGGCAGACTGGGGATAACAACAACAACAGAAAAGATACAGGGAGGGCGCTTTTACAGAAATCCAGGACGTTTTCCGCTTCTTGGGCGCTTTTTTTTTTTTTCCTTTTTAACCATCTCGCCGGAGACGATCGAGGCGGTTTTTGGTGCCTGAATTTCTTGTCTCCCTTTCTCCTCTTCAAAACAAAAGGGGGCAAAAGAAGGAAAGGGACCCCACCGGAGCCCGAGAAAGTGCCGAGTCGCAGCAGACCTGGCCCCTGCCCTTGCTGCTGCTGGTGATGATCCGGTGACTACAGCAGAGAAGTGGAAGAGGAGTGGGAAGTGCTCAAACTTCTCTACTTGCCGGTTCCGAGCCTCCTCTCCTCCTTTTCCTCTCTCCCCACTTTGCCTCCCCGGCAGCAGCAGCGATTTGGGATTTTTTGCCTCTCTCTCTCCTTCCATGTGCTCCCGGCTCTTCCCTGCTGAGAAACACAAAGTTCACACGCGAGCGGCTTTTGTTGACATTTTTTTCTCTCCCACTCACACTTGACTCGAGTTTGGGAGGGAGAACTTTCTTTTTCTTTTTTTTTTCTTTTTTTTTTTCCCCTTCCCCCCCATCTTCCCCCTTCTTCCCGTCCCTTAACTACGCTGCCGCACTCCGCCGGGCCGGCTCTTTCCACCGCCGTCCCCGACTCCTGTTATTATTATTATTACTCCTCCTAATTCCCGCCGCCGCTCCTGACGGCGGGGCAGGATGCTCCTGAGGCTGCTGTCGCTGCTGCTGGCGGCCCAGCCGCACCGCGCTCTGGCCTCGCCGCCGGCACCTGCCGACCCGGGAGCGCCGCCGCCGCCGCCCCCCCGGCCCCCCGCCCCCGGGCCGCCCCGCGGGGCCAGCGGCGTCGTGCGGCGCCTCGACCCGACCTACGCGGGGGGCGGCAAGGCGGGGTATGTGCTCTACGCCGGGGGACAGCGCTTCCTGCTCGACCTGGAGCGCGACGGGCCGCGCTGCCACTACCGCGGCACGGTGGACGGCAGCCCGCGCTCCCTCGCCGTCTTCAACCTCTGCGGCGGCCTCGACGGCTTCTTCGCCGTGGGGCGCTCCCGCTACACCGTCCGGCCGGCGCGGCGCGGCGCGGAGGCGGCCGGACCGCGGATCTACGGGGAGGGCCCGGCCCGAACCCCGCACCTCTTCCGCAGGGAGCGCTTCAGCTTCGAGACGGTGCCCGCCCGCACCAGCTGCGAGACCCGCGACCCCGCCGGGGCGGCGGCGGGGGACGGGCGGCGGCGGCGGCGGCGTCGCTCCGTCTCCCGGGCCCGGCAGGTGGAGCTGCTGCTGGTGGCCGACGCCTCCATGGTCCGCAAGTACGGGAAGGGGCTGCAGCACTACCTGCTCACCTTGGCCTCCATCGCCTCCCGGCTCTACGCCCACGCCAGCCTGGAGAACCACGTCCGGCTGGCCGTGGTCAAGGTGGTGGCCCTGGGCGAGAAGGAGAAGGGGCTGGAGGTCAACAGGAACGCCGCCACCACTCTCAAGAACTTCTGCAAGTGGCAGCACCAGCACAACCGCCTCGACGACGACCACGACGAGCACTACGATGCCGCCATCCTCTTCACCCGCGAGGTAGGCATCGCCCTGGCCGGCACAGGCGTGCTGTCCCTCGGGCCGTGGGTGGCCGGGATGCAGCGTGCCGAGCCTGGCGGGCCTCCAGCCAGGCTGCTCTGCTTTACCCCGTGGTTGCCTCCCCGCCGAAGGATTCGGCTCTCCCGTCGGGTTGCACTGCATCTCAGGGGCAGCTGACGGGGATGGAAGAGGGGTTGAGAACCCAACCAGTGGTGCATGTATTTGTGTGCGCCCGCTCCCGTCCCCTGCGCAGTCACCCCCACTGCGGGGACACATTTTCGTGCCAGTGCAGTGTTGGGACTCCTGCCAGGGTGGAGAGGGCGTGATTTGCCTGATCGGGGGGACTCAGCTGAGGCCGCCCAGCTTATCTCTGCTTAAGACATGACATTGTTCCATCTTTCCCAGTGAGATGTGTAACACGCAGCTCCTCTCTCTCTGCAGTTGTGGTCCAAGCAGAAAGGGCTGATAGCACTTCCTAGACTAAATTAGTCCCCAAACAAACCTGCTAGTGAAAATGGTGGAGAACACCTTAAGAGTACAGACGACTTCCTTGTTGAGTGCACTGAGATGCTATTTCCAGCAAGAATAGCTTGACCGCACTGGAAGCCAGCAGCACTTGTGGTTCAAGTGTAGGACGTAAATGCAAACCGCAGGTAAACAGAGCTGCAAAAGTTGGTTGAGTTGGGCTGCTGGTGAGGGGATGCAGTCCTTTTCTTTCCCCCCAAGTGAAAAATGGCTGTCCTGATAACTGTGGGTTGGATCTGGCTGGTATTACCCATGCAGAGCCATGCTTTGCTCCACGCTTGGTTGTTGATTAATTGCGTTGCCAGAGGTCGTTAAGGGACATTGCTCTAGTAGACATGTGGCTGAGTTTATGCAATGAAGTTCTTCTGTAAGAATATCCCTTCAGCGGTTTGGGTTTGGTGTTTTCTTTTTTTCCCTTCCCCAAGTATGAAAAAAATAACTGCATGACTTTCCGTTCATTTGAGTTCTCCTGCTTTTCTACATCATAGGAGCCTGCCAAAAAGGATGCTTTGGATGGTTTGTGGAAGGAGTTGCTCCAGAAGGGGGAAAAAAAGTGCCTGGCTTGCTTTTATAGCTGTAAATAGTTGAAACATTAGGTTCTGTGTCAGTCAGGCATCACTTGTGCAACAGGAGCCTTTTTTAGCAGTTTAAGACCCATCAGTCCAATTTGCAAACTTTCATTTTTTTATCATTATAATCTGAATAAAAGCATGCTACCTAGTCTGGGTCAGAATGCTCTTGCTTTTTGCTATAAGCATCCTTTCTAATGGCTTATTAATTACGCCTGGACCAGAATCCATCACTTCTCACTGAAGAGTGTTTCTCTCTGCCAGTATTCCCATTTATTTCCCTGGGATTTATGACAATTCAGAAACTCTTAGGGTGGCAGACTGTGAACCTTAACATCAATTATTAAGTTAATTTGAATTGAGATAGGATGTGAATTTAAAGTGCACTTGCTTTACAGATGCTTATCTGTAATTCTTTGCATGGATGCCCTCCTGCCAGAGTAAGTGTGCTGCTAATCAGTAACCCACTTTCAAAGACTCCTGAGCAATGCATCTTCCACGTGTAGAGTTACTTCTTTTGGATGCAAGTAGTACCTAAACTAAACAAAACATCACAGTTCCCGTGGTCTTCTTCTACTCTTAAGGTGCAAATATTGCTTGCATTTTTACTTAGGGATGTAAATGCTTTCTGAGAAAAAAGCACAGGCTTTCGTTTCCTTAGTTTACATTTTAACAGCTTTAACTATAGGATTATCTCCTCGATGCAGCTCAGGATAAGTTAATCTGCTTTAATGGTTAGCTGTGTGCACACGCACATTGTTTGGCGTTGCAGCACATTGTTTGGCATTGTATTTCGGTATTTTACTCAATAAGAACAAGACCAGAGTTTTCGCTACATGTGTTCATGATGTTCTTTGCAGGGAGTATGTGTGAGTCCACACGATTTTTATATGCTTACACTTGAAATGTCAACATGAATCTGTTTGCTCCTCCTGGAATGTAAACACAAAAAGGGTTAAAGGATGAAAAAGCAGTAAAGATGTTTCCTGGACAAAACAGCCCCACTTTGAACTAAAGAGATATTTTTCCAGTTTGGCTTTTCAATGAGAGTGGCAGCAACTGGCAGGAGAATTGCACTTTTACAACTATGTTTTGAATGTATGAAGTACGTTGCCTAGCTACAAGACGCCAAGCCATGGCCGCGTGTTTTGATGGGCTCTGAATACTGTCATGCTGATTCTTGAACATCCAGACGCCTTTTTCTAAATGGCTTGTTTTTTAGGCATGGGGTAAGTGTGTGAGGAACATTTTCCGTCTTTGTTTACTAACCGAGGCCACCGTGAACTTTGTGTCTCTCCGTCAACAGAATAATATTTGCAAATCGTTTGTCAGCTGAATGCAGGTCCTCAGCTGTATGTAACTGTTTATGTGTAGATAGAATCTACATTATGCATGTCTGTTGTCATACAAGTCTCTAATATAATAATTATCTTCGTCCTGGAGTGACATTTACGTGGATGCTATTTTTACACCAAAAGAGGCTGTCTGAAAAGATAGTAGCTTTACTGGAGTTCCTTAGAAAGGAAGAATCCTCACAGAATTCAGCACTGTTGCTTCCTCTTCTTTGGTTGTCTTTACTTCTTTAAAGATAAATTAGTAACCATTGATAGACTAAGGGTGTGCTGGCAGCTCTCTCTTATTATAAAATTAGTACTGTCAGTTCAAATTATGGTCATCATCATTATTCATACTAGGAAGCACTTCCCATACAAAAAGATTTTTAGAAGGAAATTTACTGATTCTGAGTTAAAATAGCCACTTTCGGTCATAATCTGTGTTTAATTTGATAAGGGCTTTAAAGCAATTATGATGCAGACCGTAGTAAATAGTAAATAAATACGAACATGAGTTCAGTTTTGGGTGATACAGGCAATGCGTTAAAGATATTTTAAGGCTCTGTATTGCTTCTCAGTGACGGCAAGGGCCATTTACTGCAGTGGGTCCTGTGTTTACTCTGTAACTGCAAGGAACATGTCTGACCATTGTTACTAACAGTGTAGGAGATTGTGAAAACCTTCAGTGGTCACAGAAGTTATCTATCACTAAATATGGCAGAAATTTAGTTGGGTTCCACAGTGATTATGTAAATTCCCAAAATCTGATGAGGAAAAGTGTATTTTCCCAGGGATCTCAATCTCTCATTTGGGGCCATGATGGCCAGTATCAAACATGACAGAGGTCTGACTTGGCAGTAACAAAAAGGGATAATTTTCTAGTATTTCTAAATCCCATGAGAGCTCTCATTAAGGCAGTTTGGCCATAAGGACCTCAGACAGTACATGGGTCCCCTGCTGTTCGACTGCTTTGTGGTTGAGTCCTTGACAGCAGCTGTAAATTTTTGGGCTGCACGCATGCTTAGAGCATCCTCCATGGAATATGGTGGTGCACGGATTTGATCAGCTGGTGGCCAGGTGAGTCCTACACCCGTGCAGCAGGTAGGGAACTGACTGTGTGGTGAGAAGGAGGAAAAGCTTATAAAGCCCTCTTTCCCTGCAGATGAGCTCACTT